TTTATTATTTGCAATGTTTATGCCAAGGACAGCGAGGTGTTTATTAAATAGATTGTAAATCTTATACTGTAATGTAACGCAAGTATAGTGATTAAAGTACCGTAATTATTATAGATATTTATCTAATAAATAATAAGTTATTACGTAAAAAAAAGTTAAATATACAAAGATATTCCTAGGTAATAGACGACAATAATAAGTAATTCTAACTATATTTTTTTTTAACGTGACATGGTTAAGACTTGATCATTCTATTAAATTATATGTAGCTTTTAGTAGCTTGCAGTTAAATATAAACGTCAAAAATGTATTCTCGTGAACAATTCGTTATACAACGCTGACGATTATGATACCAGTAGTTAGTACTGATTATGAATAAGGTCACTCGGAGACCCTTAAGTCCGTGGCAATTATCTCATTGGCGTGTTTCATTAAACGCATTTAAGCCGTGTCCGCTGCTGTCGATGTTTCCACACGTAATAATAACTAACCAATGCGGCGCATAAAAGCCAGATGTGACGATAATAGTAGAATAAAAAACATTGCCGACTGCCTTGTTCCACTCGTATTTAAAATATGCACGTTTTTCCTCAAAAATAAACGGTATTAATCACCTCGGGAATCATTGAACAAAAAAAAAAAAAAAACGTGAAACGGTCAGAAAGGCAATTTGCCAAATGAATCTAAAAACGATGATAACCTCTTCTTCCAGTCCCATATCGCGCCCATGGAAGTTACCAACCCGTCAGTCTTATTTTTTCAAACTGATTTTGATTTATTGTCTTCCACGCTATATTATATCTACTTGTACTAGAAGTTTTATATCGGCTTATAAAATCACGACGATATTATGTATAGTAGATTTTGTGATTTCCGCTCCTAAATGATGATTGGCATTATTTTACCTAACCGACAACGAGTAAGAAAAAATAAAATTTTTCAATTATAATAAGTAATAACAGTCGTACAATGTACTAGGGTCTTGTCCCGAAAATATAGTGCACGAATAAATAATAATATTACATCGTCGTTTGTGAAACGTTTATCTAAGGTACCTATATATTATTATGAATGATTTTTTACGGTGACGTTCAATTTTCCCCAATCTCTGCAGTCGCGGCCGATGCTATCTACCAATTTTTGGAGTGTGGCTGTGAAGGTCAGTGGCGATGTACGTATTATACTATTATACAGTATGTATATACTATATTATAGCATATAGATACTCAGAATCGTTATGCACGACTTGTGCAGACTGAACGAATGGCTGCCGCACCCCACCCCAACCTCCCGTTATAGAACCCCTCGCTGCTCTCATATCGTAACGTAATAAACAATGCTGCAGCAGTGTGTTAAGGCCAAAGCGGCGTATTATATATATACTATGTACATAAATTATCCTCTACCGTGAGATATCCAAAAACCTGATCGTTCGCCGGAATATAATACATACAATATTATGTATTACGTATTTTTTTTCAAATCATACTTTAGTTAACTCAAAAAAAAAAAAATTTAAATATTCATTTTCGTGTTTCTTAAAAATCTGAATTGCATTGGTGAGGATTGGGAAGCCGACTGGGTTTATCCTCTCCAATAATTCCCAAAGTCTCCCAAAAAAAATGTCTAGCCAGTGATAAAGTATTTATAGATTGTAGATACCTAATATTTGAACAATATTTTTTACTTAGAATTTTAAAATTGTTTATTAATTGGATTCTATTTTTATTGTATTTAATAATATATTTTTTTTATTAAATAAAATGTTGCACATTTTTAAATTTTTTTTTCTTAGCAACGGTAATAGTAATATATAAATTAGAATGTTCTGTTATGCTATAGATTTATATGTAATTTATTGTTTATTGTGCATTAGGTATTGCTTTTGAATTAATGATAAAGGAAAAAAAATATTTTAAAAATTGATAATATATTAAATAGAAAGGACTAATCCTCGTTGAATACGCGCACAGTAATATACAAGTACATTGGTCAATTATATAACTTGGGAAGTTTTTTAGATTTATAATATAGGCAAACTGGTATGTAAGGTTCAAAATATATTCACCTGAAAATTGAAACACACTACATTGGTTCTATACAGAGTGCAACAGAAATAACCCTGACGCATGTAATTAATTAACTATGTATTAACTTTTATTCGTATCATGATTAAAAAATGGTTGTATGTATAATTTAAAATAATTATTATTAAACACAAACTAGAAAAATATACTTAGAACAAATTTTAATACTTATACTGATTATACATGGTTAATTACATCTGTCACTTATTTCTGTTACACTCTGTATGCCTAGTATAAAGTATTTTATTGCTCTCACAGGAGTGTACAATAGTAATAACAGTGTTTTTTTTTCCTACTAAACCGTGTGTTCCGGTCACGGCCGACCGATCGGCCGGCTCGCCGGGGACGAACGATAATTGCCTTGCTGAGGAGATGGCGTGCCGTCGTTCGACGCGATTATCGTCTATAGGCGGCTGTGTTCGACTGCGCCAGCGACACTAGGATAGTTAGACGTACATTATTACGTTTGAATACGTTTAAAATGCATTCGCGTAATGTAGGAAATGCTGCGTGCACGTTGTACGTACTATCATAATGAATATTTTCCTGCCCATAAGTCGGCTATGTCGTGATCCTAATATTGTGTACCGTTATACTTGCACGCGAACAAGTTATTATTTCGTCTTGATACTCTCTTTACTGCCTATGCAATACTGCAATAGATGTGGGTACGAAATGTCCCATAATATCGTATTAATTATTATACAGGTACGAACTACGAATTGATTCCGTATTTTCTGCGATTTAAAGAATAGTTAAGTAAAATATATTTTTTTCATTGCTCTGAATTTAAAAAATAATGGAAATACTTGGGCATTAATGATAAACACGATAGTGTATTATATCGTGAAACACATAAGCATATTTTTCAGATTTTATGTTAATGCTTATTAGGTTTAATACGATTTATAATATTTAAATGTAATTAAATAATTTATCATGATACCTAGTTTTGTTAGGTCTAATAGAGTTTAGTTTTACTTAATAGTCATTACCATTATATACATTAGTAATATTACCATTTTTAAACACAAATATGTTAGAAAGATTTGTTGAACAAATGTTATTAATATTTTAAAATATTTGCATTTTGAATGAATAATTAACATAATGACAATTTCATTATTTTCAAATAGTTGTTTAGAGGCTCAAAAAATACTTGATGGTTAATTGTTTTGTTTCAAGTTTTGAAAATATTTTATATTTTCTAGATGTTATCTAATTTTATTCATAATGTATTTAATATTGTAAAGTCATATTACGTATTCCTTGACTACTATGAGTCATAGTTAAAATAAGGCAGACGTTGATCTAACGTGAAAGTTTTTGCTATGTATTATCGGTGTTATTCATTTTATGATTTAAATAATTAATATTTATTATCATGCAATTTTATTTTGTTATATAATATTTATTTATTCATAGTTAATATTTAAATGATTGTGAAATATATGGTTTTATTGAGGTTCCCAATTTATAAACGCATTTAAAACCACTTTAATGTTTTAAAGGAAGTTTTAAAATATTTGCTCATTTACGACGTTTTCCATCTATAAAAAAAAATACATAACTTATGAATACCTCAAACAGGCATTATTGATATTTATTTTATAAATATGTATTATTGATTACGTAAGTTGGGGTTATTGTACTAGTAAATACAATAAAATAAGTTATTGCAAATATGTAATATATTTTTCAATTATAGGTATTTTTTATCTTGTGTGCATTCAATTAAATTAATGATAAAAAAATTTTAATAACCTATTGTTTTTTGTATAATTAACTTCCACGCCTGAAAGCTATTAAAAAGTGTCATTTCCGGTGTTCAAATTGGAGTGATATATTCTTTTTTAGCAACTACATTTCAAGGTTGTTATCCGGATTTGTTTATAAAACACTAATATGTAACGTTTGTATTTATTTATTCTTCATTGAAAGGTTGAATTACTGTTATATGACACTTCTCTCGTACGGTACCTTGTTTTACATCTATATCATATAAATATAGGTATAACTCTTATTTACTCGTGCAGTCGTGCAATTATTTTATTAATACTAATCACGTACATAATGACTCCCAAGAATAACTAATAATTCATTACCAAACAGTATAATATAATATGTTAGATATTGTGTTTATGATATATACAACAACAATATATTTATAGTTCCGCTGTTGATTATTTCATTAAGCATATAGAAAACAATTCCACTTTTGATGGCGTACAATTTATTAACCGACGAATCAGAAGTGTCACCAACGCCTCTTGTGAGGGGGAAATTATCTGCTATCCGGAACCCAACCAAGCACAGGCTAAAGATATCCTAATTCATTGCGTTTGCCTAAATATGAGAGCGAACGGAGAACACTACAGAATACTATTAGGAGCTACGTTTTTTCTCCTTTAAAAATAAAACAGTAACGTAAAGTTAAAATATTAGTCTCATATTCCTTCCATAGTTCATTGCTCCTCATGATATTTACGTGTGTACACTTCTAATCTGGGCGAATGTTTCCAAATTATTTGTAGAATAATATATTGTGTATAAAATAATTTATAAATATTTACTTCATTATTATTGTATTGTATATTGTACAGTCTTACCTAAATTTTTAATATTCTTGTTTTAATCGATATATTTTGCAAACAAAAACTAGAATGTTAATCATTTTTCACTTGCCAAATGTTGAAAGTTATTTTATTATGGCCAAATGAACTGATAGGAATGTTGGAAGTGCTTCAAAAGATGACGTATACCTATTCGGTTGAACGATATAGTTAAATAAACTTTTATGTTAATTTTGAAAAATTATTGAATATTACAAAATTTAATGAAATTGATCATTATTTAATAGTTTATTATCTATCTATTAGTCATTAACTGAAATGATTTATTATTGATTTACAGGTAAAACATACTGCAGTGGTTGTAAGAAAAAATGTTCTGGTGAAGTACTCAAAATTAAAGGCGATAAATACTTCCATATCGACTGTTTCAAATGCAAGAGTAAGTTTGATTAAATACAATGTTATCTGTAATAAATATTAAGTAGATATTATACTATACGATTTAACACTATGTATACTCAATGAAATTTACTTTAGAGTTTGAGTATTGAATGTATAAAAAGTAAATCTTATTATTTGTTAAATTGTTAAATTAATTAGTAGTTAATTTATTTCAAAATTTTATTAATTTTTTTATTACTCTAGTTGCAAACAATTTTTTTAAATGAAAAATAGCATCACATATCTTCATTTATATATATGTCTGTGAGCAAAATATTTTTTTTTTTCTATGATAAAGGACTGTGTAATATTTTATATTGGATAATAGGATAATAGATATGTAATAATACATCACCAAGTCAGTCCTAAGGCAATTGGCTATGGTTGACACATCACAGTATATGCATACTGCAACAATTCCACTATTGCTATCAATGAAGGGTACAATGACACGAGTAGGCTTATTGTTGTCAGGCATACATAATTGTTATGAAATTCCATTTGTATCATGATTGAAAGCCGAGTATTTAATTGTAAAATTTAAAACAAGTTAAAAATATCTTATTATACCTACTCATTGTTTTTTTTTTTAGTTTGTAGCTGTTCATTAGTGCAAGGGTTGTTTTTTTCTGAAGAAGGTAGCTGGTATTGTCCTGATGATTATCAAAAATTATTTGGTAAAAAATGCACTGTTTGCAATGATTATATAAAAGATGAATTGGTTATTGTTTTGGAACGAACATATCATCAACAGTGTTTCACATGTACTCATTGCAGGTAATAATTTAACTAAAATTATATTATTAATAATAATATATCTAAAATAAATAAAATGTTTACAGACAACCTTGTCCAAAGGGAGATCTAGTCACATATGTAGGAAATTCTATTCTTTGCTCCAAATGCAAGGAGATTCCTGTTAAACGACCAATATCTGCACAATCAAAACAAAATAGTACTAATGAAAATGGTAAATTTAAATAAAGTATAACCTTAATAGGTTTTAAAATATATTTTGATGTTTATAATTGAATATTTAGATTGTGCTGAATGTGGTGATGACCTAAGAAATGGACAAGCACTTTATGCTTTGGATAGACAATGGCATATTTATTGCTTTAAGTGTCATGAATGTTCTGCCGTGCTTCATGGCGAATATATGGGACGGTATGTATGTATTTATTATTAGTATATTCTTCCAGCTTATTGAAAACAGCATAATTAGTTAGTGCTTTAGTACTAATAGTGTTTCTAGTATTTTGGTTAAATACTAGTCAATAATCATTATAATTATAGCTGTTTAATATTGTTATACATATAATACTAATGTATCAGTGTATAGTATTAATGTATAAATGTGATATAATGCATTATAGTAATAACAACACAATATTTATTAATTAATTATTTAGACTTGAAAAAAATATGTAAAATATGTGCAATAATTAATAACTTGTAAAATTTTACTTTTTAGGGATGGTGTTCCTTATTGTGAAAAAGACTATCAGAAACTTTTTGGAGTCAAATGTACATACTGCAGTAGATTTATATCTGGAAAAGTCTTACAAGTATTATCTAAATAATTAAATTATTTATTCTATATTATTTATTAATATCAATGCTATTTAAGGCTGGTGATAATCATCACTTTCATCCAACATGTGCAAGATGTGCTAAGTGCGGTGATCCATTTGGGGATGGGGAAGAAATGTATTTACAAGGTAATTAAATTATATTAATATTATGTAACATTTAAAAGCTTATAAATTATTACTATAAAATTAATTAATTCATACAAATTTTTATTATTTTTGATGTATCTATTTTTCTTAGATAAGGTTAGATAGATAGATTAAATATGAAAAAATATAAATTCTATCAGCTGTAAAGTTTAAATATATGTATATGTAACTATTAAATTTTAAATAGGCGGAGCAATTTGGCATCCAAGATGTGGGCCTAGTCCGACTGAAAATGGCACCATAATAAATGGAGGTAAACAATTATCATATCTTATTTCTATCAAAACTCAGTATTTCTATTGTATAATATTAAATGCACATGGATTATGTTCCTTACTGTATATTGTATATGTTGTCATAGGATCGAGTGCCATGCTTAACGGACATTGCAATGACCCTGAAGAGTATGATCGAATCAGTTGCTCAGCTGCTAGTGAAACACAGGTAATATTTTTAAGTCAACACAATTTATTATTTGCAAATTAATTTTTTTATAAACTATTGTTTTATCATTTTTATTGTAGTGTTCATACAAGATAAATATTTATGAATGTATAGAGATGCACTATTTAAAAAATTTTTATTCTAATTTGTATGCATTTGCTCAATTATGTATTCTTAATTTAGATAGTGCTATAAACTATTTGATCAGTTGATATTTACAGATATTTATGATTATAATATTATTTAGTATATTCATTTTAATTTAATTATACTTTTTTTTGTTTTTAATTTCACGTTGAGCCTTTTTTTATTTATTAATATTGTTTAGTAGATTTTTTTTTAGATGCTTTTACTTAGTTTGTGTATTTCCAGTTTTCATTACGATCTCGATCTCGTGCTTCAAGCTTTAATGGTTCATGTTATAATGGTTCATGTAATAGCATGAGTAGAAAGGTTAGTACTGCATAAATTAATTTGCGACATGTAATATGTAGAAATATTTTATGTTATGTTTTATGAATCTAATTTTTATCATATAACTATTTAAATTTTTTAAATTTTAACAGCACTATTATCGTGATATACCTGGAAGTCCAGGACTATTACTTCGAGAATATAAAACACCTAATGTGCCTATAAGTCGTATTTACACTTATAGCTACTTGACTGAAGAGCCTACTCAAGGCTATCTGAAACGCCCAATTGACCCATATGATAAGCAGCCTACATCGCCTCATTTCCACAGACCAACATGTAAGATATATTGATAATTTAAAAATATAAGTATAATTATTGTGTTTAATATAAATAATTTTTCCAGCTTGTGGTAGTGTACGTGGAAGTAGTAAATGTTCAACTTTACGTTCAGCTGGCAGTCGTTCTGGTATGAAAGCTTTAGTAGACAGTATTAGATCAGAGACTCCTAGACCAAAGTCACCTCATAGTATGAACAATGAAGAACCTATAGAATTGGCTCACTATCCTGCTGCTAAACCACCAGCACCTGGTGAAAAACCAAAAATTGAAAGAGATGATTTTCCTGCTCCTCCATGTCCATATACTGATCCAGGTAACATACATACTACAATACAAGACAAATAAGATTTTGTTTTAAAAATGTTTTATTTTGCTTAGAAAAACGTAAAACATGGTTTGAAAACTATAAAGGCATATCAGATGATGAAGATGAGGTAGATCAAAAAATGAATGCTAATAAAGCAATAGATCCTAAACTAAAAGTAAGCTATTAATTTGACCATAAAACATTGATAAAAGTATTTTTCATACATTTTTTATTTGATAGAAAGAAGAAGAAGAACTTAGTAAATTAGGATCAGGAATTGGAAAAGTATTTTTGCAAGAAGTTCGTGAACGTGAAAAACATCAAAAATGGAAAGTTTCACACATGGATCCTCGTAATGCTTCAAGATGTCCTTCTGCTGCACGGGAGCCAACTTATCGTCTTAGATACCAGTCACCAATAAATGCTTGTAAGTAAAATTCAATGAGTCTATTTTTGAAAATAGATTCATCATTTTCCTGTATTATCATTTAAATGTGTTTCATTAATAAAAAATATGTTTTTATTTATGTATTATTTTTAAGGTTTTATACGTATACTATTTATGTTTTACTAGACTAATACTTAAAACTATAGTATAATATGTGTGTTTACTGTTAATTATGTATAGCACCATCTCGTAATTTGGATCATCAAAGACCTTGGGAAGAAGAAGGTGGTTATTTAGACTCAAGTTACAGATCATCAGTTGGACAATCTACTGGTGCTATTCCCAATTACAACAGTAAGTTTTTACTGTAAAAATAATCACATTTTTGTTTCTACATATTCCATTTATGGAAGTTAACTAAAATCTATTGACTTAATATAATTATTTATATTCAATTAAAGCCGACCTTCTGACTATAATAAACAGCAATTTTGTTAATTTATTATTACTTTTGTTATTATTATTACTTTTATTTATTTTTTAAAAATATTAAGTACAAATATCTAATTTATGTTTCAATTATAAATGTTAACTATTTCTTATTTCAATTTTGCATTTGGTACCTAAAATTTATAAAAATTTATAAAATAATTTCATTGACATTAATTATACTTAGCTTTTTTTTTTCTTTAATAAATTTTATAATAAAATATTGAATATTTTATCATCTCTAATTTATTTTTTTCATTTTACTCCTTGTTTACTTTTCCTAGAGTTTTATATCAGTTATATTTATTATTATTTTCTAAAAACTATTATTCATGTTGAAGTTCTTGATAATATTTTATGTTTTGCTTTTTTTGTATATTAGTATTGTTTTATGTTATGTAGTTTGTGAATAATTGTGTAGATATTTTGTTTCATGTGTTAGAATTTTTTTTTTTAACAAGGTTAGGTTAGGTTAGGTACATATTCTCATTGTTAATTACTAAATAGTAAAAATTTAATAAAATTATTTAAGGAGTAATCAAATCACTAATGTAATATAGAACCTATTTAAAAGAGTTAAATTATTTTAAATTTTATAAATGATTTAATTTGTGTTATGCTTAATAACTATTATAATTAAATAATATAATTTTTTATAGTTAATCATTTGATAATATTAAAGGTAGCTTTTTTAAAATCATAATCATTTAACTTAACCTAACCATTAGTTAACAGTAAATACTATAGTACAATAATTGTATTCAGCAGTTATTAAATTTACTGTTTACGGATATAACAAATTATTTACATTTTATCTGCTTCAGAAAATTAAAAAAAAAAAAAAAATAGTTACGTGTTTATAACAGTAAATAAACTATATAAAATAAATCTGTGACAATTTTAATCTACATATGGATAGTAATAATAATAATAATAATAATAATAATAATAATAATAATTAAAATAGTATTTAATAGATAATTTATAGAGTATAGCTTTAATTAATTAATTTTGTTTCTTATTTAATTTGTTTTAATATAATATTAAAATATTGTATTTAATTTCTGTAGTTTTTGTTTATTTTTATTGCATTTTTAATTTGTGTCATTTTTACAAAACGCCTGCGTTTTATTCACTTGGTTAATTTAATTATTCACCAGTTAATTATGTGTTGCTTGGAATTTGCGTTTGTTTTGTTGCATGGTGTGTTATTTGTTTGTAGCATACTATCAAGGTCAGCATGGGTCGGCTATAATGATGAGGGGCACCCGCAAGTCGTGCACTCTTCCAGCTGGCTTCCACGGTGGCCCTGGAAATTATATCAGGGTAAGTAATACGTAGCCATTGTTTTTCTGTTCTTATGTTCACAGTCGTAAGTGCACTACGCCATGTACCCAAACCTGGCTATGGCTTGGCGCCTAGTCGACGGTCAAACACTTTCAGCTCTGCGTACTGCGTCAAAAACCCTTCGGTATGATGAGCAATTTTTTGTAGTTTGTATTATGACTCAGACATAAACCTCAATAATTTCCAATTATGTAACGTGACGTGATCAAAATTGTTACTACCAAATTTATAACTATCAATTCAATATCAAGTTTTTAAAATTATAAAATTTTTTGTTTATTTACATTATTCGTTTGGGAATCAATCAAATATTTGTCATGTGGCTTTGAAATTTTATTTTCTGATTTTTTGAACAAGCAATTTCTAATTTTATTTTATATTTTTAGGATGGGTTTTCCATAAACGGCTTAGACAATAAAACACTTAGCACAGATTTTAACTGCGCTAGGTCTGACGGTAAGTGCTTCATTAGTTTATTAATGTTAATTTCCACCCAATTTTTACTATTTTGGTGTATATAGTTTTATTTGAGGGTGATTACTTGATATAGTATTAGACAATTGTTTGTTATTTTATTTTTATTTTAGATACTATTCATTTATGTATTATTATTTTTCTCCCAAATCTATTGGCTTACCATAAGCTTATGCAAAATTCAGTGCATGTAAGCAAAAGCATAAATTTAAGCAAAAGCTTTTTCCTTCAATATTTATATCTCTTATAGCTAAAATTATACTTTTTGTTCATTTTTAAAATATGCATTTTATTATATTAGGTACTAAATTAGCTAGTCAAGGTTCAGGTTTTAATATTATCTTTGCTCTATTTATTTAAAAAAAAAAAAAATGTATGAAGGTTCAAGGATATTAAATAAGATAGGGAATATAATTATTAGAAGTAATGATGTGGCGAACAAAAATTATCAATTGAGCCCATTAAATCCAATAACTACCACAATGACTGATTTAAATACTTAAAAAACACCCATTTAAATAAATATTAATAAAGGAGATTTAAGTTGTACAAGTATTAAACTCATTTACTCATTCGCCATGTCATTGATTAATATGAAATATAAAGCTTTTACCTCATAATTTAACATGACTCCAAAAGTATGTATAAAAATATTACTATTGCTGTTTGCATTTGAAATTTTAATTAGATATTTAAAATATTATTTTAGTATCATGATTACTTTGATAATTCTATTTCTACATTACAATTTTCAACATTTTGTATTTTAAGAAATTGATGATATCTTATTTATTGTTAGAATTGTTTCTAACAATGTACTTTAATAATTTAATTTTGAGTTGTATTTAAATTGTTTATTTTTTTTGAGGCAAAAATTGAATATTTGTATAACATTTTATAAAAATAATTGATTTAAATAAAATTGTTTTTTTATGTAAAGCAATGTTGTTTTATTTTATTTAAATTTTATAAATATTTGTTTACTAAAAAAATGTAATTTTTATCAGTTTTATAACTGAACTATATTATAAAAAAGCATTTTGATATTGAATTGTTAAAAAATACAATAAAATTTACGTAAAAAAATAATATTTACAAAGTATATGCTATTGTTTTTGAAATTAAAATAATTATATATTTATTAAAATTTTATTAGCAAACAGTAAAGAATATATTATTATATTGCTTGTTGACCCATAGGATAAAATAAATGCGCGCTTATACTAATCATGCTTGTCTGTTTTGGTGTAGTTTCTGCCGGATCTATATCTGAAGTGGATCAAGGCAACACGGTACGTAGACATAAAACGTGGATTTAAATTAAAAAAAATTTTTTTTTTTTTAATTAAATTAATATTTTATAATGTCAAAACTAGAGTTCTTAAGCCACTCAAATAATGCTTGCTATTTTACCTTCACTATTGTTTCATGAATATGAAACCTATATAATATTTGGTTCAAATGTAATTAATTACTTATAATTATGTGTAGTGTTCTGAAATACCAGCATCATCTACATTTACTGGATCACTGCGCTATGTTACTAATATTCATCGTTCACTACCCAATATGTCTTCATCGCATCACAGTTCTGAACCTCCAAAAATTTATCCATATCACTTATTACTCATCACAAATTACAGGCTGCCCTCAGATGTTGATAGATGTAACCTTGATGTAAGTTTATTAAAATTATATTTTTTTATTGGATGTTAAAATATATATATATATTAACTTAAATTATATTATGTACAAGTTTTATTACAAAATTATTTTATAATAAACATGTTTGAGGACTTACAATAATATATTGGCGTGATTGATATGTCGAAGCAATTTTTTAAATACAAATAAAATGTGATATTTTGAGTAAATTTATTATATAATCAGTACTCGGTGTAAAGTATTCAGGTGTGAAAATTAAATGTAAATATTCTCTAAATATTAATTTAGTGGCAATGCAATTGTATTGATAAGTGATAATTGTATTTATATCATAAATATTTAATATCCTAAAGACAGAAAATATTTTGAATTAATAAACTGTATTTGTTTACAGCGTCACTTATCGCCTACAGAATTTGAAGCAGTTTTCCAAATGTCACCAGCTGAGTTTTATCAGTTGCCCAAATGGCGCCGCAATGAATTAAAACGTAGGGCACGCCTGTTTTAATTCTACATTCACTTGCTGCCGTGTATTTGATAAAAGGCAAACACTTATTAGGCTTCTTGTTTATAAACTTTATCTTTAGCAGCTAAATTCTTTTGAAAACTATATTCTAATATCAGTTCTTGTACCAAATTTTTCTATATTTTTATTTAAAAAAAAAAAAAAATTTTATTCTTAATTTTATTTTAACATTTATTGATGACAATATTTAATTTTTTGTTTATAGACACTTTAAAGTTTTAATAAAGTTCTTTAATAATAAAAAAAAAGTGTACACTTAGTAACTGTAAATATTAATAATATCTCTATAATGGCTTATATTGTTTTTGTGATTTACTTGTAATGATTGTAGTATTATTAGATACAATTTATAATATATATTTATATTATTTAAGCTAGGCCAACTGGTCTAATTGTTTGATTGTATTAAATGTTGTTGTCTTGATATAATATAATTTGCAAATTACATTTATCATTTTATCATAAATGTAAACGTAACAATTTAATTCACTGCTAAACTAATGTTTTATGTAAAAAAATGTATATCACACAAAATATTTAGTAAATTAAGCATGCCTTACTCTCAAAGCTGGGCACTAGTTAATTAGTAAGTTAAAATTAAGTTAAAATGTTACTTTTAAAGTAAATTCCTTACTATTTAAGTTGGTTTTAATCCATAATAATAACATTCTAAACTTGAAGAGTTGTTTAAAACTATCTAATCTAATGCGTTAAATCAAAAAGTAACCATATGTTTTGTAACATTGGCATTCAAATAGACAATTGAATTTAGTAATAATAGATCAATTTCTTATCAAATTACATTTCTTGTATTATACAGTTAATTTAAATGAGTGTGAAGTGATATGTGTAATGCATGTTATTTTATTGTGAATGTCTGCAATTGGTGAATGTTGATATTTGTTGGTGATTATCATCATACATCAAAATTATTGGTGATTGTTGTAATGTCTATTTTGAATGTTAACTTGGGATAATGGGAGAGTCACTATGATAATATATAATAGACATACTTGCTACCTATTCAATGTTAGATATTGTACTAGTTGATCATTTTAATAAAATATTTTATCACCTTACTCGATAATTTTTTAATATTATATCTCAATAAATATAATAAATAAACATTTTTTCATACATTGCAATGGTATTCATTGAGCAAAGAAAATGTCAAATCAATTGCTATATATTAAAGGATTAAACAATTTTGATTGAATAAATTATGTTGTATTTTATATATTATCTAAACCCTTAAATCTGTGCTATATGTTAACATTAGCTAAGACTGTGTTGTGTACCTATGTCAAAATTGTTCAAAAGCATCATATAAATGTTGACATTCACTAGAAAATTTCCAATTTTTTTTAATTTGTCAACATTCAACCAATTTAGGATGTACATGTCAACACTAATCAGTTAACTCAGCATTCACCAACTGCGGACATAAGTTGGAACACATAAATAAAGCGGTGGTAGTAAAATTTTATTGCTAATATATTGCCTATTAATTTTATTTTATGATATTATTGAGGTAGCGGTAAAATATTGCAAAATAATTTGTTGCCACTATTGTTTATTCAATTAATAATTTTAGTTAGATAATCATTAATTAATTGAATAAAATATTTGAAATTTAAACGGGTTTTTAAATTATGAAAAACACTAATTTTACTTAGATTAAAAGATTTGGAAATTTCAAAAACCAAATTATGTTATAGTTGTAATTGTTTTTTACGTTAAAGTAACTTAATTTGTTATAAAAAATTACTATTTTGCCCAGCTTTAGTGATTCTAAAGCAGCTTTATTTGCTTTTATTTTATTCAAGGTAAATATTATTTTGTATTTGATACAATAATATGCATTATTTTGGAAATGATTACAAAGTTTCTTTGTAATAAGGAATCATCCATAAAAAATTATATTTATGTATATGTATATTATATTTTTGTAAACATAGTAAAGCTTGATGTAGCAATAAGTATGTAAGGAATTGTTTGCCAACAACACCAAGCTCGTACAATTTTGAAGCTATATTAACTATATTTGTACAAGTTGTATGTATAATAACGTTTGTTACGATAATTTATTTACATAAAATATATTTTATTACAGTACTAAAATGTAATGACATTTAAAAAAAAAATGTTATTAATATTTAATACATATTATTCATTGTGCAATTTAAATATCTTTTTTATTTTATTAATTATTTTATATATATACTATTTATTCACATAAATTATAAAAATCTGCAATAAACATTTTTTTATGTACTAATAGTTTAAATGTGATTGGTGCTAGTCTTTTATCGAGTCACAGTCTAAAGACATAAAATAGATAAACATATTTATGATTATTATGTATTATTATATATGTGAGCTTTTATTTTATTTTATTCAAGTACAAAAGTGATTTATCTGAGTTTTATATTGCTTAAATACTACGGTGGATATGATTTAAATTGAATTACTTTATTGTAAGAATAAATACGTTATAGTACATGCATTATTAATTGATAATACAAACATGGATAAATCGCTAAAAAAAAAAATGCTTGTCTTAACAACTAAGTAAATTTAAGTTTATTTATAACATTTATTTTTTTAAATTATACTTCTATTGTCAAGCTTAACAAATAAAAATAAATATTTAAGGAAGGACTGCATTGTATTTATTTCAAACATCTAAAAGAAATCAAATAATTCGAAGTAAGAAAAAAAAACCGATTTGTGTTTTAACTTAAAAATGTAAATATTAAGTAGGTAATTTGGGAACTCCCTAATAATATTGCATAGTAACCGCTAACCAGTACCTAGGTGTCTGGTATACTTCGTCATTGAATAGGTCATTACGTTGTAATACCTAAGTTATGTATATATTTGAATTTAATTGATTACATCGTTGAGGAAAAACAATTCTTTAGATTTTTAGCAAAGAAAATATTAAGTAATAGTAATTTATTTCGCTATTAGCAAGTTTAATTCTTTGCCGAAGCCCGAGAACGTCGCATTTATTATTTATTTATAATGGATCTAACGTGAATCCGGATCGATTGAACCGAATGTTGGGACGTAGTGAGCAGGTAATTTAATAAACAGATACGTTTTATTGGCGTATGGACTGTATTTCGAATTTAATTATATTAGTTTTAATAATTATTATAATTGGCAGTGAAATGAAAAACTATAATCTATGTGGAAGACACGTCGCGCATTCGTAGGGTGCTTTTTGACTGCGACTCACGTAAATCCATAACAAACGTATCTTGATAATGAAGACCGCCGCGACAGTATTGTAAATAAAAAATGTATGTACTTATCGGAAATCGCACAGTATTCGGTAGGTACGTAAATATGCGACATATTATGTTAAATCGTTGCGCTTACTATAGGGTGTCCCAGCGGAAGCGCACGCTCTGTAAGCATGTAAGCACCATTGAAATTTCAAGAAAAAAAATTCATTGTACTTAACCATAATTATCTCCGATTTAGTGATGAAAAATAATGTATAATGATACACATATTATCATTATCGTTAGAAAATTATTTTGTATTTTTTCTTTACATTTTAAAATTTATTATATAATGACTGATGATAACAACTCAGTAACTTTGATTATTTTTTAATTTATTTACCTACGCTTTTTATGTGTTAAAACTCTTATTAATGAAACTTTGATATTTTCTTTTCTAGTGCTTTGTAAAATTGTCTTAATAAGCAAAGCTGTTATTATTATTGTCTGTTTCTTTCGAACATAACATAATTATATTAGTACTTGAGCCTAAATTATTATTATATGGTCACCCAAAGCAATACCAATACTATTTATAATGAATTGCATTTTTACAACTATCTAGACACACACATATATGTATATATATACAAGCTGACTCGGCAAACGTTGTTTTGCCATATAAATTATATCTAATGAATATTTTGGTATTCAAATAAAAAATAATTAAATTATTGTAAGTGAGAGGGAATGTCGTATACTGGTATATGACTGAGATGAATGGAGCACTGTGAATGATGACGGCCCATAAAAATAACAAAACACCAAATATCCTCACCGCCCATAAAGTAAATTTATAAAAATGTATGTGGTTCGTTTGGCATTGGTAGCAATGAGCCCACTCTATGATAAACTTGGCCTTTGATTTTGAATGTTGAATTAAATTATTGACCATTTGCAGCATTATTTTTAACTATTTCTGTTGCTCCGAACGATGTCATTTGGAAACATGAATTGAATGTTCGAATTGACTTCAGGAACAGGTTAGAATCTGGATCCGTACCGATAAGTAAACCGTTACTTCGGTAAACCGTTCAATGGTTCAGGTGGTGTTTCAATTTCCGGTAGTTGCACTTTTCCTGACGCGCAACACATACCGGTTGGCTCATTTTTGAACTTAGGCGCATTACAATACGGACATTCCTTATTCATAGCACCAATCTCTACTTTCGAATGAGCGTAATATTTAATATCGGGCCCATACTCGAATGCTAGACGAAGGAATTAATTGGATGTAAATGCTCTATGTATTTGTTGGCGTTGTCGGTCATTTTCTCTGCGTGTGTCCATTACGAATTGACGCGCTTCTAATCGTCTTTTTTGATTTTGTTCAGCTTGTGCCTCACGCAATCGCACCATGTTCACACGTACATTTTCATTATTCGGTTGAATTTGTACCTTGTACGTCTCTTCTTTGTGCTCTTTTGTTCGACGGGCCAAATCAGACCCCTTGCGTCTTGCTGACATTGTACAAAATACACAAATCGATACAATTAAAGTTCATATATGTGATTATTAACCTTTCTTATAAATGAGAGAGAAAGCTTATTGTGTTAGACCGACCCATTCAACGGTCGAGTCGTTTCTGATGAGATCGTTAAATGTGATAAATACGCGGTCGTTTAATATTATGAAAAAAGATGGAAACGTAATCTAATCTAATAATATATAAATATACAATTTACATGTTAAATATTAAAAAAATATTTTTACACTAAGTTCCCTGGCAACAACTGTTGTATCTTAGTTTATTTATTATTTATTATTTTATTTTTTATTTTTTTTATTTTCCATCGCCGATATCCAACAGTTGTTATAAATATTTGTGGTGAGCCATCCTTTACACCTAGGGGTATGAAAAATAGTTAAAATCACTCTCTGAAACCTACTTAATATACACAAAAGATTTCATGAAAATCGGTCCAGCCGTTTTGGAGGAGTTTGGTAACAAACATTATGACACGAGATTTTTATATATTATATATAATATATAAGACTTGTAAACAGATGGTTAAATATATATCATAATATGACTATAAAAAGTACCAAATTCTTCAAAATCGGTGTAATATATACGTTCGTACATGCCGTTGTTTATACGGTGGCTAACCTGCTCGATTTTTTGGTAACATAAATATCATAACAACGCTTACGTTTGGTCGTGGCTGTTGTTTAATTTCATCAACCAAGTTTTACGGTTTTAAAAATGCATCGATGATTTATAATTGTTTATCTAATTCTTGCATGCCGTAGACTTCATAATTCACATTTCGGAATCATATTTTTATATCGCCATTTAAAAATGTATAATAAACATACGTGTCAATATCATTACTGTAGGCAGCGGTCATGAATTTCTCCGACGTTTTGGGTAATTTACGAAGCACAAAAGTTTGCCTACATGACGATACTTATTCAATCGCTACATTTAAAAATACGTGACATCGTGTTCGACAGTCATCGCAATATAAATATACTTAATATGTCAAAATAACACCATTCGACTTTGTGAAGTCAAATACTAAATAGTGACTACTCTATTTTTTCGATTTTTAGTCACTGTTCGCATACCTATTTATTCACAATTCGCAATCACAGTATTTTAACTTTCAGTGTTCATATATTTTACTAAATTAAGAAATATTTTGTAAGAAGACATACAGGGTGTACAGCAAAGCGAGTTCCTCGTTTTTTTTTTTAAATTTATTTTTTATTAAAATAAATCAAATGGTAGGAACTTCGGAGGGTTATATAAACAGAGTGTATTCCTTTTTTATACTTATGTGGGAACTTGGTAACTTATTCCGATGTTTATAGTATCAACATAAGATCATGAAAAATGACAACAAACCCAATTCAAAACTTAACTTACCTATTTAAACAAATTTTGGTCTCGAAGAGCATTCAATATTCATAAATAAGTGTGATTATTTAAAAGGATTTGAAATATTTTTTAGATGTATCTATTTATTTTTGTACTGAAACTTACTCATTGAAAAATGCATTTAAGAGTATTTTGATTACCTAGTTTTTATGAAAATGGTTAAACAAAAAAAAAAAAAAAGAAAAACGTACGTACGTAATATGCTTATATATTGTATATTATATTTAAAAAAACAGTCTACTTTTTCGTACATAATATAAAATAATTGTGGTGTATACATAACTATTTATATCACGTTCGTGTCATATGCATATAATGTCTACACAAAATTATGTTTATATCTGTCTAAAATAATTTAAAAATAAAACGCGATCTTTTACAAAAAAAAAAAAATTAATAATAATAAAATAGTGAAGCGTCTAGCGGGACACCGTGGTGGCAGCGGTTTACATAATAATATAATAATGTTAAAATTATAATATTATTTTATATATAGAAAAATAATGAGTCATTGTATTACAGCCAGTGCTCGAATTGGTGCTGAGAACGGAGCTCCTTGTTTTCCAAAATTATGATACTGCATAAAAGCTATTATAATTTATGGAATATAAGAACATAGTTATAATCGTTCCAAAAGTAATTAACATCTACGGAGTAGTTTATTTGTATATTATGTTATTTCGAAAAACGTTAACTTTTTGAATTTTTTTTTGTATAATTTTAAGAATACTTACCTATATCATAAATTATCCATACAAAATTCGATTTTTATGTATCAAAGTATTTTAAAACTATTTAGTTGTGGAATAATGAATTAAAGACAAATGTCATTTGAAAAAATTTAAAAACCGTTAACGGTAAAAAGTAGTAGTAGGTATATGGTTGAAAATTATGTAAAAAACATATTTTTAAAAACGTTAGGTAATAGTATAATAATTATTAGCATATACTCTTGAAATGTATTTTATTTTTTTGTCTGCGATTTATTTTATATTATAACGTTCAAAAGTTATAAGTTTTTTCAACCTTAAGAGTGTCTCTCAATTTTGTTTACCGATTTCGAGCACTGATCACATTGCATTTTCCTATACCGTCATTGATATTATACTAATAATAATTAATAATAATAATAATAATAATAATAATAATAATACGCTGCATTTGGGGAGGAATGCGATAATACATGATATTATTAAACGACGGGGCGCGTGACGACCTAGAAGCGTTGGTCGGCTGCGTTCTGCGGGGGCGGTACGGTCTTCCGGACTACCGGCTTCCGCGCCCGGTTCTTAGCCATGCCGTTCAGGTTGATCGTTTGTCCGTTGGCCATGACGTACTGGTTCTTGGTGTAGTCTATGTAACCGTACGTGTCGCTGGCCTGCGCCTCCTGCACCGCCGACGACCCGGCGCCCTGCTCTCGCTGCGACCCGGACAGCGGTCGCCTGTCCTTGTCGCATAGCACACCCGACTGGTACGAGTACTCGCGCTTGACGCCTTCCGGGTCTACGTAGCCGTACTTGCCGCGGGTCACGCAGTCCACTCCGATGGTCTCCTCCTTAAAAGTGCCGTCGTCGTTTTCGAAACCCCAAGTGATACTACCGTCTGGGTTGTCGTCTCTGTATCGCCTCAATACCTGTAACACAAACATACATAATATTATGATACATACGTTAGGCGAGTCACTCGTAAAATAATTGTTATGTGTTAAAATATCATCTATAATATGATATTGATTATTTATCTGGTTAAACGTCGCAATATGGTCGGCAGCGTGTACATTTGCAATGTACCTACCTAATATGCACATATACTGCACCCTCCTAACCATAACATATTATAGGGTGTATATGACGTATATTTAAAATCTTTGTATTTTGAATATAACCTACGGCAGCGTTTCCTAAAGTGTGTTCCGTCAGATGTATTTGATTATTGAGAAAATTATTTTTTTTTATCATTTTTGGAAAAGATATTATTGTTTTAAATAGTTTTGATTGACATTTTTTTATTTTAACTAACTTCAATAAATAATAATTCTATTATTAACAATAATGTTATTTTTTTTTTTTAGAAAAATTGGAGTTGAGTTTGAATTAAAGATGTTGGGGTTTCGCAAGACACTTACTATTTTTTAAGAGTGTCGTGGTCGTAAAAGTTTGGGAACTGCTAATCTACGGAACGATCCTATTGTAAAAAATCGATGGTCATTTTTTTTTTATCATAATATTACCTTTATATGATATAGACATATAATGATTTTATAAATAATATACTTTATACAAACATCGCAGGTACGAAAAAGTACAATTTCGTTACGCTGTATGTCCTATTGCTATTGCCCTTGATTGTGTACATCGTTGAAATATACTTATGTTTTCGAAAACCGATTCAACAAAATTAAAATTTGAACTTGAATGACCGAATAACGATACGAATAATTTAATTACATAATACGTATGATTTAATTAGGTCAATTAATACCTAATACATATTTTAAACAATTAAAAATTCGTTTAAACTTTTTAAATGTATTTTCATAAGTTCGGTTTGAGTTTATTTTCGAATAAACAATTTTAATCTGAGTTTGGTTTAGGTTCGGGTACAATATTATTATATTTGATTAGTTCCCATTTCGTTACGGTTTAATTTCATTGAACTTATAAAAATTAAAGTTAAATTATATTTTTGAAATATTAAAACCAGTTTTCAATCGATAAAATACAATTTAAAATTGAAATAAATGCATAATTTGATGATTTTGTAATACAGAACATAAAATATAAAAACAATTCAAAATTAAATTAAAAGTGATAAATTAGTTATTAAAGTATTATTTTAAAATTTAAAATAAAAATGTGTATACACGTACTGTTGTACGAGTATTACTATTATCATAATTGACCGCGTTTATACTTAATGTCAAATAATATGTAATATTGAAAATAATAATTATTTTCTTTATTAATATAAAAATAATTGCATTTATTCTACGAAGTAGGGGATAAACACCACGATATTATATTGTATTTACGTTGTACATAAGGAATTAATCGATTACTGAATAATAAGAATATAAAAAAAAAAATTACTATAAAAATAATAGTTTACTATCTGGTAACCCAAATGTCAGTTTTGTTAAGTTATTTTTTTTATAATATTATTTGTTGTATTTATTTAAGTAACTTATTTATATTGTCTAAGTGATTAATTTATTCCATTTGTGAAAGACTGCTTGTTACTTTATGTCTTTTTACACTGTTAATTCTTTGTTCAAGTTTAATACATTTATAATTTATTATAATTTAATTCTAACTGTATAAGGGCTAAATGAATTATCAATCATAGCGTGGACTCCACTGTTTTCTATCCATTTCCAATATTTTTATTTTAATAATTTTATCTATTCTAAAATAATAATTATTAAAAACAAATCGTTTTTGATATATTGAAAATATAAATTTAATTTCTGAAAATAATTATTATATTTTAATAATGTATTACTTAGATACTTCAAAAACAAATGCAAAACCCACAGTGATGGCGTTCTCAATTTTGTTACCCCTAACTACTATTTTATTTATAAACCATTAACGATTTATCAATCGATAATTTCAGATAATATTAGGATAATTTCATACAATAAGTCCACATGATTTGTCACTGTATATTGATCAATGTAGGTAAATTTCATAAATCATAAGTTATAACCAAGTTTTGAAACAAAAATAATTTTGGAAATAAACGCAGAGGCGGCGAAATGAAATTGTAGTAAAATGGGAATAAACTGACAGCGAAACAGGATATGACCTTTTTATTCATGTAACACAGTATCTGTGAGTGGTAAAAAAAATATATTTTTAAAATAGTTCGTATTTCATATTCTGTGATTATGGTATTACCTAACAATATAATTTTATAATGTCGAGTTTGTGGTGTAAAATTCAACTGTAACTGGAAACGTGATGATCGCAATAAAATATATAATATTGTTGTCGAGCTTCAAATTGTATTTTTTTTTTTTTATATTTAAATTGTTAAGTATATAATAACGTTTATATATATATAATATATATACGATAAGTCATCAATTTCCTCAACACCATTTCAAATAATTTTTCAACGAAAGCGTAACTTTTATTCTCGTGTGCACGGTGTTCAAGTCTGTTTTGACTTTCACACACATATTTATATATATATACGCCATGTGGTGCGTGATTTCATAATATAACAAAACAATATCATCATGAATCAAAAATATTCTAAACCTATTATTTCCACTGTCATTCCTTATCTAGTACGTTGACTATATAATGTGCTCTAGTTATTTTGAAGTTGTTATACCGTTTAATGGTTGTAGATTTTTCTTTAGTTTACTGACTATATTTGTAATCTGTTTAGATATGTCCAGTCCTTATAAATTATCGGTAAGTACGTCAGTTAATCGTATGTAAATGTCAATTTGAAATTAAACTTTCTCAATATTTTTATCAGTGACACAGAAATATACTTCAATTTATGATTTACATTATAGATTATATACTATATACTATAAGCGTATATAATATGCATTCCACTATTACCTACATATTATTAATATGTTATATAATACAATATCATGATATCGTGAATAATGTAGGAACAAACTTAATTCTTATTTTTTTATAATAAAATATTTGTTTAGTAGGTAACAAATTCTAAACACGCCATTTCATAGACATTGTGTTTAATTAGTAATTACACACTTTTTTCCAGATTGGTTCTAAATCTAAGCTAATGTTTTTAATAGCAATGTTATACAATTAGGTATACTTCATTACATAAAGTGAATTGTTGATAAATAGTTATTTTATTTTTATTTTAATTCAGATTGATATTATTATTATTATTAATCGATATTACTTAGGTATGTTATTATTATTAAATATTCTCAAGTATTTGAGTTTGAACTTTTTAAATAATTTTTTATGTATAAATTATTTTTATAAGCTATGATGACAAAAAAATTAATAACCTACTTAAATCGTTATTTATTGAAAACCATTCTTATGCGCATAGGTACCGTAATCGATTATTTTATTTGTATTTATAATAATCAATGGTCATGTAACATGTTATAATAATTAACAATAATAGTCGGCTAATAAAAAAGTATGGATAAATAAATAAAAATTATTTTATGTTTTTTTTATTCTCGATTAATAATTTAAATATGAAAAATTAAACTATATAAATACGTGTACAATTTTGTATTGATATATGGTTTTTTTAGATTATATGCTTTCGAAAATTTTTTTAGTTTCACCGTTAATGAGGTATCATATTTATATTATCTTAGTTGTGGTTCATTCTTTTTAATTTCAAATCGTTATTTTTTATATATTTATCCAACACCGACTGCACTTAACAAATATTCATAGGTATTTCTAGACACCACAAATGTACTTTTATATCTAATATATATACTCGCAAAAAGGTCAATGTCATGTATTATATATTCTATCGAAAATGTAATTTTCTTCATGATTAATTATTGTTGAAAGCTAATTATTTTTTTTCACTTATTTAAAAGACACATTCATATTAAAATATCATTAAAAAAAAAAAATAAAAATAATTTTTGTTTTTACACTATACGCATTATATCCTAACTATATAGAATGGTTAATCATTTTGTTCTTGTCGAATGGTTTTTGACCGCTTCAGTGCATCATTGTATTCGAAGTCTTGACTAAAGATACGCTTACAATATATAATATATATGATATGTATACCATGTATATTGTATATGCTTATTGTTATTTTAATAAGCCATGAAAAGAAAATGCTTAGATGATTTAAATAAACTGGTTTTGAATTTCATATAAAGATAATCTGGTTTATAATCAACTTAAATACAAATGCAATTTAATGACAAGCGATCGTATTTTGTCTTCGCTTGCTTCTGTTGATATTTTTGTAGTATAATGTGGTATAGTAGGTATAGTGTAGTATGTTTACTTACCAAATAGTCACCTCGATAAAAATATATTTTATTTATTTGAACTCAGTGTATTAAAGCTAAGTTTTACCAGCATAATATATGAGAGCACCATATTAAAAAAAAAAAAAAAAAAAAAAAAAAAGAAGAAAATTATATAGATAGTAGTCACAGATATGCGTTAGATTAAACGTTCGGATTACAGGATTTTATCTTAGTGCTGAGTGAGCGAGTGATCGGAGAAGTAAAAGGCAATTTCTACGATATATAATGTATATTATATATTTATATATCGCGTTACTTGAATAAATTCGATGACTAGGATTAAGGCAGTTGTCAGAAGTGAGTATAACGACAACTACAGTTCGAGATAACTCATTTTCAAAATCTGTTGCTAAAATATACTAACAGCAATTGTCAGTTGATAGAAGGTACGTGATTATAGATATGATAATGTCTCAGTGGAATAATAATAAATTACCTACATAGTTTCTAGAACGATAAATCCATTCCGATTTCTACGAGGCTAATGTGTTTATCCCTCGTGTAAAAAAAATCAAAAATAATTAATATAGCACCTGAGACACCGGCTTTTTTGCCCGCTGTTTGTCGGCAGACTCGGTTCGTTCAAGTTTCATTCTTTGAATCGTTTCTGGAGATTTAGGTACAGCATCTATATCTTCAGTGACTCTTACGCGTTTCAACGGCCTCTGTACTACCTTTCTCACAAAGTTTGGTTGAGTTTCTATGGCTTGTATCTGCGGCTAAATAATAATTAAAATAATATTATAATAATAAGATCGGATTATTAATGTAACCTACTCCATTATAAACCTATATTACATTATATATATACGCAATAGAACTTAGAAGTAGAATACTTACTGTTACGCATATATTCGTATACAATTATTACAGAGGGAACTGTGAATTACCTGAATTATTTTGATTTTGTTAATAAACTTGCAAATAATTAGGGCAATAAATTTAGTATTTTATATCTGTATTTTTGAGTTATATGATTATTTTGTATATGACTTAAAATTAAAAAAACATTGAAACTCTAAGTAGCTATGAAGTTTTTAATGTTTTTTTCTTCTAAGAACAATTAAAAAATCAACCAGAGAATATTTTAGACTTATGTGTTTTATGAATTATATAGAAAACCTATTTTCATATAAATCGGATCACAATGAAAACGTATACTATTTAATAAGTAATATAACCATACAATAATATAATTTAAGTATACGAGTCTCTTTAATAGTATTTTACTATACCTGGGGCCGGAATCCGGGGAATTGTTTTTCAGGTTGTGCTTGAATCCTGTCAATATTTTGTTGTTGTTGCTGAACCCTGTCGACTTGCTGTTGCTGTGTTCTCTCAAATTGCTGCTGAGGCGCTTGTCTAGTGGGTTGTGGTGCATCGTCGCCCGCCACATCGCCGTCGACGTTTTCGACAGGTCTCGGCTGGAACGTTTGCTGAGTTACTACTGGTTTATTCGGCTCTTGTCCGTCCAGACTAAAGCCTCGGCCTCTGTACAAGGGCAACGAGACTCTACGGAAAGGCTGCGGCATTGGTTGCTGAGGGTCCAGGTTTAGCTGAGGGATGTCGCGATTCTGCAAAGTGGATCTGGTGAACGTTGGCTGGACAGGACGTTGCTGGCCCAACGCCATTGTCACCAATAAGGACGTGGCGATAAATGCGATCTGAAATAGACAGAATTTTTAAATTTCTGTTACTATTTTTAAAGGTGTATTGTTTTGTAAGTTATAAAAAGCATTTGCGAGGACAGGGCTGCATACAATTTTAATGTAATCGCCATCATTTGCAGATTACCGTAACACAACATTTAATCGACCCTACATTATTATTATCTACTTGAAAACTTATCGACAAGTTTTATACGTTATACAATTCAACGTATCAGAACAATAAAATGCGAGTACAAAATATAATAAAAACAGATAGCGAATAACTGTTAGGTTTTATATAACAATTATCGAACTTGCACTGCAGACTGCAGATTCAAAACATATTATTAAGTATCTATTATATTATTATTATTTTATGAATAAAACACGAAAACTAGGTATTAGATAATAATGTTGTTATAACTATAGGCATGTGCACGTAATACTCGTGCGTTATGCATATTAATGTATTGTATTATATATTATACACACCAACATTTGTCAGTCTATGCAGTACAGCAACAGAGGTATTCCGTACTTCTATGAATACGACTCTCTGGTGAAGTTTAGGGCAAATGAACTTGTACGTTTAACAAAACAGAATATTTTCAGTGTATTTCTCTGATAGCTTTTAATATTTTTATTTGTTATAAATTTAAATATGTAGGTTTTTTAAATTTAACTTCGTCTTTATTATTTTTAATCACTAATAATTCTAAAAAAATTTAAACACTAAATAGTACCCAGTCAATGTATATTTTTACGTTTTTTATAAAATATATTATTGGTTCGTTACTAAACCTAAGTTAAACCAGAGATTCGTAATCGTGAATCTACAAAATATCTTTGTGACTATATTACGCGCGAGACGAAAATAAAAAATAAATGTTAGTGTTCTAGTTCATTTAATGTTATAATATTTTAAATAAATTAGTTACAAGTAAAATCTATAGGCAAGATTAGATCAGATCTATAAAAAAAATATCAGAATTCACAAGTAGTTTGATTTGTATCAGATAACCATAAACCAATAAATAGTGTACCTATATTGAATAGGTAACTAAATATTTTAAATTTATTACATTATAATATGTAACTGTGTGAGTTATGATATGGTACATTATGAGTGTAGGTACTGGTGACTGATAATGAGTATAATATGTGTTGTTTCTGAAACTCTAATTATTATTATTATTTATAAAGTTAATTATATATATATATCGAAAATTCGAAAAATATTCTGACATTTATGTTAATGGAGAAAAAAAAACAATACAATTTCTAAGTCGACGACCTGTTTAATATGACTCGTCGCATCGCCTCTGTCAGACGATTGTGACAAGACGATATTCGTGGTAAATTCTTTCTATCGAAGTTTTTTTTTTTAATTTTTTTTATTTAACCTTAATATATCAAAGTGAGAACAAGAAAAAAATGTTTCATTGTTTCAATGCAGTCACGTATTCCACGTGCCTATTTCCTGGTCATTAATGACCGTTACGACGATGTTCAAGTGCATATATTATAATGTGTAGGTATATTAAATTATTTGTTTATCGATGGATGCATTTTTTTTTTTACAAATATTTTTCAATTTCTCGCAACGATAAAATCTTATTACTCATTATTTTATTGGCAATATACATATGCGAATCGTCTAAATTTCCGTAACGCAATATAATTTATATTATAATGATTAGTCGATAGGTATTTGAGTGCACCGAAGAAGACTGCGTGGCGGTACATCGACCTCTCACGTGGCGGGTGGTTGACCAAGTGGTCCGACTACGGTTATTGTGTGTAAATATATTATAGATTACTGTCTTATAACTAATATTGTATATAACTTTTATTTATATATATATACGTAGGCATGTATATTATACGTTACCTTGGGCCAGTATAATTTTTTTTTTATTGTTATTCTTTACAAACGAGCTTGTAATTAACGGCTTACAAATAAGATTCATTTAAAAGACGACGATCGAATGCCTGCGGTCTCATGTTACATATATTGTACATAGGTATTTGACGTGTGACGCGATATTAACGAGACCGAAACGGAAGAGCAAGTTTGAGCTTACGAATCTATGGCGTAGAGGCCAGAGGGTTGTATGCTTCCATTACCTTAGCCCCATATGCCTCTGATTATTACGACTAATTATAGTTATAAACGTATGGTAACTATGTAGTATTATAATAATCCGTCCCTTGGTATATGTTACACATAATATACGTATGTATATATGTATACTAACAAAAAATTGAAGTATTAAACAAAAATGAAAAAATAATCATTTTAATGACAATTAAAAATGATATAATAATATCTTAATACCCCATTCAAGTCAGGTATTATCGATTGCCCGTTTTATTATAATACACCCCAAAACCCGCACTCTGTATATTATAATAATAAATTAAAAATTTTTGATTCTCAGTTTTTGGCAAGGACCAACAGAAATATTTAGCACGTAACAAACCTGTATACTCATATACATTATTATATTATGGTATATATTACATATTATAAAGTCCGAACGGTTTTTGATTATTACGTAGTGCGTAACGTTCGAACTATGCATCAATATTATTGGAATTCGATATAATATAACGTGGAATTTTTCAGTCACATATTTACGATTCAACTTTAGACCCTCCGAAATGTTTTCAAAAAATATTTTTTTTCGATATGGCACTGTAAAATGATTTTTTTGGGAATCTATATTTTATATTAATATAGGATACATTTTGAAATTTAATTTTGTATTTTTCGCTTTAAATAAGTTGTTATTTTTATCTTATTGAAATATACATATGAAAAAAAAATCTTATTAATATTATAATATTAAAAGCTCTACATTAATAATGTACCCAGCTATATATATATGCCTATTGTAACAGAATATTTTTTATCGTATTTATTTATTGTATATCTAAATTCATATTATTAATTATTATGATGCTTCATGCATCCAAATTACTATAGTAGTTACTTATATTTGATTTCCAATGGTCACATTGAATAATTTATTTTTTTGTATAAATTATCTTAAATGATAATTTAAAATTTATTTCAGTATTTTATATTTTGAAAAACTTAGAGTATGTATCCATTTTCTCTATTACATTTTTAATGAACTGTTGTCTGTTTGAACTTGAACCACCTATATAATTTATATTTATATGGTGTGAGGCAAGTTAACTCAGTGGCCTGTACTGGTGCCGCCGTCGACGATTGATTATTATTATTATTATTCCGAATCCGTGCGAACAATTTTATTCTATATATATGTATTTATTTTTTTTATATGTATATGATTATATTGCAGTATTCCGCGTTTGGAATACCAAAATCGACGTCGTCCCGCACCGTTACGCACCGGATGCGTTCGAATATCATGACGTATTGGTTTCACACGAATTTTTTTTCCCCGTTAAAGCGCGCTGCAGTAAACTCGGTCACAGCCTACAGGTAATATATAACTATAATAAAATATATGTAAATATTTTAAGTGTATATTTGTACATCAGAACTTATAAAAAAAACTATCTATAAAAAATATAATATACTATAGTTTGTTTTCGCGTTGTCTTAACAACTGAGATATCTAATACATGCGTTTATAATTTTATAAGTGACTTGTTAATGCAAACTTTTTAAAAATTTAAACATTAGTTTTCATATAGTTTATTAAAATATAGTTTTGAAGTTTGGGCAGGTAACTGGTCGAATATGTTAATAAATAGTTGGTAGGGCGTAGTAAGGCATACGAGGACAAACTGCTCGGCGAAACACCCTATCGTCATATATGATATATCACCGAACTATAAAAAAACACCTCACTGATGGATGACGACTTTTACTTTTATAATTACATATTTTATATTATGATCAGGTACAAGGGCACAATTGGTCATATTATATTAGTATTTCTTATCTAAAATATTATATTTTATTTAGAACAATATATTGATAAGTTACAATATCTAATCGTATTAAATTCGATATAAATTATAAAATCATATAATAGAATGAAAATTTAAGACTCATTTTTGATTAAATTGTAGAAAATTATGATTTTTTAATACATTGAAACAATTTTCAGTCTCAATCCATTGCGTTGAAGCTCAAAATTAAAGCCACAGAGTGTAGTTATAATATGTGTAAGTACCTATAACATTTATAACTGAAATTAAATCTAGTATCAATAACAATCCAAGTTTTATCTTCAAAAAACCTTTAACTTTGAACATAGACATTAAAAATCAATGAACCTATGTTACATAACATGTATTGGCGTATTATGATATTAAAAATATCAAAATAGCATTGGTCGGGATAGTTGTAGTAGGAGCCAGTTCGGAAGCTGTCGTTGGTCGAACATAAATAATTAACGAGTGAAATAAAAATATAATGATTTAAATAAATGGGTAACATAAAATAAAATAATAAATTACTTTTAGTATTCTGATAAACTACAATATAATAATATCCCAACGGTCTGGCTAAACTTAGTGCAATTACTTGCTATAGTAAATCGGAAGTTTCTTACTCCTAAGTTCTAGTCCGGAGGATTTAAAATAAGACACGATTGCTAAATTGAGCTATTATAATAATGTAATAGACTCTTCTCAAGAATAAGTTTCAAGATAATCTGGCACTTATCATTCGTATATTATATGCCATTTACTTACACTTAAAAAATCTAACGGCGCATAATTTCCGTTTAGAACTTCCTTCAATCCGTCTCTTCAGTAAATTATTATTAGGTACCTATAATTCGTTTATATAGGTATATTGATAAATTTCAAGTTATAACCAGAGCGCGGATTTCTATACAATCGCATATTTTTTTTATTTCACTTTTTTGGATTTTTGTCAATTTTCTTCACGAATTATAATAATTTGAATCTAATGGTGCAATTTTTTTTACATATTTAATGATTATTGCACGTTTTTGCATATTTTTACAAAACTTAAAATGTATTGCATATTAAAGCGAACATTTTTC